AATAAAGTCGACTTTATTGTCATAATAATCCGACTTCCTTCTCATAAAGTTATGACTTTTTTTCCGTCATATCAAAACTTTATTCCTGTAATGTTACAACTTTATTCTAATAATGTTATGACTTTATTCTCGTAATATTACCACTTTATTCTCGTAATATTACCACTTTATTCTGCTAATGTTTGGACTTTATTTTTATAACATTACTACTTTATTCTCGTAATGTTACGACTTTATTCCCGTAATGTTACGACTTAATTTTCATAATATTACGACTTTATTCTCTAAATAAAAATTTTTTTAAAAATCTCTAGCCCAGCCCTAATACTTTGTTTTAGAAATCTCAAGCAGAATTTAAAAATATTAATTTTTTTAATGAATTTTATTTATTAATGAATTTTATTTTATTTTCATTACATCTCTAAATCAGTTTAAGAAGGTTAAATCTTAATAAAATCCTAGTCAAAGAATAAAAGCAGTGCAGCTAACTCCAGGGGCCATTTTTTTCCTCCATTGTTTTTAACTGGTTTCCTCTCAGCTAACGGCTAACTGCTAACTGCTAACGGCTAACAGCCAACAGCACCTCCAGAATGCCGCTCCCATCCGAGCTGCTGCCTCCCTCCTGGCCGCTCAGAACCTGCTTCAGTTTATCCATAAAGCCAGACTCCTTCCCGGACAATCAGCCGAACCACCGCAGAGCTTCCAGAACCTTCTAAGCAATCCTCGGTTCGACGGTTCCACCTGGAACAGGTGAGCTGTCAAAGTTTATCGGAGGAGGAACAGACTTTTACATCAACAGGTGCAGCACTTCCGCCTGCAGTACCGCTGCCGGCCATCATGAATCAGAGGGAGGCGCTGTTTCCCCACGAACTGTTCAAAACGATCAACAACGTTTAACTCTTAAAATGGTAATTAGACAGAAGATGAAGGAGAAATGGTTAAAAGAAGAAGAGAATATTGATTTTATAAAATTTAAAAGAAAACTGGAGAAATAAGAAAAGGATTAGGGGGCGCCCTTATTAAAGTTGAATATTTATTATTTCTAGTTTGCTTTTTTTGTCTGATTTGGTATGATAGATATGAACATGAAATATTTTGGTTTGGAGTATGAGTTGACTTAATTTTGAAATAATTAATTTGTTTATTTGTATTTTTGCTGCTGTGCATAATTGAAGCTGTTTCCTGGCTCCGCCCCTTCATCATTGACAGGTGACTGCAGCACCTGGATTATAGTGGAGGTGGCTAATGGGGGCGGAGAGCTCTGGGATTCAGGCAGCGCAGCCATGCAGTTTATAACCGGTATTGGTTGATGTTGTTTCTTTAGTGGCATAAAAAGGAAAGAAATGAGCCGATAGGATCTGCCTGTTACGTCATAATGCGGTAAGAAAATCTAAAAATATTTAGCCCTAAACAAAATATTTATTTAACAAAGTAAGATTTTTATAAATGAATGAATGACGCAGTGAAAAAATGACTTTGAATAAAATAACCTCCTTATTTTTCTCTTAAAATACGCTGAATAACCATAAATATTGCTGCTAATTTTTGATTGCTGAACTTTACAAACGGCGCCTCATAGAACAGGAATAACTAGAAGAAAAGAAACAATTATTTCTAGATTTAGATTCGGGCATAATGGTTTAAACAGTTTATCTTTGGGAAACAGGAATGGTAAATGTGAAAACTGTGGGCTGAATGAAACAATTGAACATGTGATGTTGTACTGTAAATAAATACCAGGACAGCAATGAATTAAACATTTCAATAAAGTCAAAGTTAAATGAGATTTATTTGAATTATTTAGAAGTTATTCAGAAAGTAACTTTTACAGGATAATACTTCAATATCTAAAAAAATAGAATTTAATTCTGAGTCATTCTGGTCCACACTCCACACCAGTAGATGGCAGAAATACATCAATCTGTCAAAATCTTTAAAGAAGAAGAAGAAGAAGAAGAACTTCTCCTTGGACTTAAACCAGACAAAGATTTAAAATAAACCCACAATAGATGCTGTTTTATTAAAGAACATTTTACAACACTGGCATGACGTTGACAGATAACGTCCATAAAGCTGTAAAAAATGCGATAAAGTCCATGTGGTTCTAATACAGCAACAATTTTTAACAACAGCCACAGTTTTATTTAATAGAATCTGTTCTTCATTAATGACTGGGTGTTTGAGGACATTTTAAAACAAGCTCAGTTACATTAAATTCTTTCAAACTACAAACAAATCAGGCTTAATATAAGGAGCTAATTAAAGAAAAGAGTAAAAAATCTGCAGGGAAGATTAGAAATTAACCAAATAATCAAAGAACATCTGTGGGAGCGGTTTAATGAAAAGGTGTTTAAAATGCTGCTGTTCCCTTTGTGTGGCGGAGATTCTCAGTCATCCAGGTCAAAGTTAAAAAACAATCCACAGGTCTTTATTTTAGAAAGTTTGAGGACGTTTCTCTTCCCATCCAGGGAAGATTTTTCTCTTCAAAATGTCTGGATTAGTGTTGAGTTCCAGGCTTTTATAGAGTAGCCCAACAAAGCCTTGTAACGGTAGACGTATTCAAATTAAGACCTTTTTTTTATCAAACTTATGCAAACTGATATTTTTCCCCTTTCTCCAAAGTTTGATTTACTAAAATATATCCGTTATTTTGATATTGGACCTTGGCTATGCCTGCCTCATGAGCCATATAGTTTTATTGTTGACGTTTGTATAAAAACACTGCATAATTTTAGGGTATTATGTCCCATGAAAAAAAAAACGGTAACAGATTTTTAAATTTTATTTCAGTATAATATGAGAAAAAAGTCAGAATTCTGACTTTAATCTCAGGATTCTGACTGAATTCTGCCAGCTAACAAACATGTTAGCATCCAGCCGTAGCCATGTCTGTTTTAGAGACTAGCTCTCTGGTTTTAATCACTTTCTGCTCTTCCATTAATCAAACAGCATCAGCAGGGACCCTCAGGGACGGAAAACTCTCCTAATTCCATCATTTTCCACCAATGTGTTCCTGTTTCTCTCAAACTACTGAAGCTGAGTGCTCCACATCTCTGCCTTCATGGAGACCATCTACATTAAGATCCACAATTCTCAGATTAAAGTCAGAATTCTGACTTTTTTTCTCATATTATACTGAAATAAAATTAAAAAATCAGTAAGGTTGGTTGTTTTCCCAGTGGCCCTAATCCTCTTCCATACAAACATATTTTTGATGCTTCAAAAACTTACATCATATAATACATCATTTTATCTAAAAAATTTTCATCATAAAGCTCACATATCACAGATTACATAGAGGAATAGGTTTAATAACAATAATAATAATAATGATAATAAAATAATCACAGATGTTTTCAAATTAGAGTCACAGCATAGTTTAAAATATGAAGCTTTTATATAAAGTCCAGAAGTAAATTCCTTAGTCTTGGTGCTATGCACACGAAAGCTCTGTCAACATAGGAGACCATAGGATTCAACATAGGATTGAAAAAGCTTCCTGGATAGGAAGAGAAACAACTTCAAACTTGGGAAATAAAGTCCAGTGGTATGTTATCTATGGTTTTCATCCTGGACATGAAACTGGTTCAGAACAATGGGAGGCTGGTGAGTCATGGAATGACTGTTTACCTACTGCACTGAAAGAAAGAATCATTTCTGAGACAGACTGTATGAAAGGCCGGCTGGGTTATTTGTTTAGCTCTTGCATGAAGGCAAGTGGCTGAACTTTAGAGAATCTGCAGGCCTTGCATTAAAGACTGATCCATCCTAACAAACAAAGATACTGGCAAAGATTCTCGGTCATCCAGGTTATCGTCGTTCCAAAAAAGTAAAAAAAAGAAAAGAGAATCCACTGGACTTTGTTTCCAAGTTTGAAGATATTTCTCTTCTGTCATGATCAGCCCTGATAGCTGGACATAATTGTTCATGTCATTCAACTGCTTTATTCGGCTCCTCATTATCACTCATCTTATCCACCTGTGTCTGTTCCTTTATATTTTTCTCAGCTATCGGGGCCAGATGATTGTTTATCTCATGCTTTATGTTTCGTTAGTTTTAGTTAGTTCCAAGTCTTGTCTTCTGATTGTGTCCTGGTCCTTCTCCGAGGCCCTCAGGGTTTTGGCTCGGAATGCCAGGAAGGTCGGTTTTATTCCCATAAGCCTGGCTCCTAGGAGGAGACCAGCTTAAAGTCCTGCAGAAATCTTGGTACCATGTCTTGTCTCTGTCCCTCGACCCCTGAGGCTGCCTGTCTGCATTTGTACGTGTCTGTCTAGGCACGCTTCTGGATTGGTGGAACTCTGAACCTGCCTTCCCGCCCCGTGGATTCCTGGAACCCTGCTTCCGTCTGAACCCTTGAACCCCTGATCGAGCTGAGGACTCCTGGATGTCAGAACTGTCCTTGTTCTGGACTGTTCTCCTATCCTGGCACAGATTTACGCAGGTTCCACGGAGGCTGCTGCATTGGGAACACTCTGGCCGGCTCAGCGACGTATCTAAATGGCGGTCCATCGGCTAGATCCTACCTCGCTCTAAGTGACTGAACTGTTAAACCAGGTAAGTGACTCACATGGATTATCACCTTCTGTCAGATGATCCTGGTCACTTACCTGTGTTTCTCCCTCCAGAGTGTCAGTGATGGGTTGTGCCCCGCCCCCTGCGTCTGCTGCTTTTGTTCTGTTCTGTTTCAGTTTGTTTGTTTTAATAAATCTTGTGCACTCAGTAGGAATACTGACTGTCGCACCTTGAATTCTGGGTTCATCTGTCCTATTTCTGACAGCTTCCCATCCAGGAAGCTTTTTCCATTCAAAATGTCAGAAATAGTGTTGAGTTGGAGAATATAAACAACCTCTCCACAGACGCATGGCTTAACAAAGAAGAACGACCTCTTCTGGACAAGACTCTGCAGTACATCTGTACCTCTTGGACAAAGGACAATTTTTGGAGGACCAGAAAGTTCTCAGTTTGGACGAAGAAGACAGGTTGTTTACACGAGTGAATAAAGTGAATGTGATTGGTCAATTATCAAGGGGGCGGGATTGTTGTGGTAGAAGGTTCGTAAGCAAGTTTGGTTGTGGCCGGTTTGTCGGTAGCATCTTGCTAACCAGTTAGCAACTTAGTGCTAGCAGGTTCCCAATGGGAAATTCCATTGGGACCAAGTAGCACTAAATTGGTGACTTAGAAACGACGCTGGCAAGGAACGCTATGGACAGAGGAAACATGCAAGAGGAGGAGAGTTTAGTGTCGGAGGTCGTGGATGAGTCTCCTCCGTCATCCATTTTTTATTTAGAGGAGGAAAGCGGGGACGAAGATGTTGTGGAAGAGGACGCCAGGGCGGCAGAAGCTTGGTTTGGTGTAGAAGGCTTCCAGCCGTACATGTTTGAGCCCTTGCCTCGCAACGCTGCCAGTTCTGTTAGCTCTACGCCTGCCGAAGACACAGACTGCAGGCTAACAAAGAAGCCAAACGACCCCCATTCCAAAGGGGGGGACCCGTTCATCCGTTTCTATTTGCATGTTTTCTAAACTAAAACCAGGCTTTGTTGGGCTGCTGGATAAAACCTGGAACTAAACGCTATTTCTGACATTTTGAACTGAAAAATCTTCCTGGATGGAAGAGAAACGTCTTCAAACTTGGAAACAAAGTCCAGTGGATTGATTTTCAATTTTCTTTAGAATTACAAATAAAGAGTTACAGTAATCCATACCTGGATCACTCTCACAGTCTTGCAGTGGTCGAGGAACCTTCACCTCAGGCAGTTTGTAAACCAGGCGAGTTTTACTACAGAGTCCTTGTT